CCCCACAGATCGTGACAGAGAGCCTCCGAAATCACAGACCGCGACAGAAAAATCCCAATACCCATCGCAGACCGTGATAGAGGAACTATGGTTCTAAAGCATTAGATAAACGGTTAGCTACAAATGTATCGAAAGAAATGGAACAAAACGATTTCCATTTAACTAGTAACAATAGATTCATCGTGTTTCACATTTTTAATCCCGCAAGGGATTGCGCTAACAGCTTTTTTATTTCTATAATTCATTTATATTTAGTTTCATGTTTATTACATACTCAATATATTTGCTTATTTATTATCAATTGACATGTTTTAGACATATAGAAACAGAATAGATACAGTCGAACACATTTCACCATTGCATATATAATAAACAGAATAAGTTAAAAAATTTATCCAATAATAATGTTAAGAAAAAAATATAGCAATAAAAAGCCTTCAAAGAAAAATCCCGAAATGATTAGTTCACTCATTTTAATAAATTATTAATATAATGTTTTATTAATTCATATTCAAAATTGGATGAGGAAAATATAATAAATCGCATAGGTTAATTATCGGTGTAAACAGAAGATAGCCTTAACCTCAGCTATAAATGTTCGTATTTTGTGTAAAAAGATTTAAACCTATATGCAGTATAAATAGAAACATTAATGTTTCTAATTAGAGTTCGGTGTAGAAATAGTTGATTGTCACCAGATTGTTTTTTATTACATTACTGTATATGATAGAGAAGGAAATTTATAAGTCAAAGTCGTCCACAGCAAAGAAAAATAAAGACAATTTTATTATCAATATTTTTAAAGTAATATGATATTTTTCATTAAGTTTCGTTCTTTACGTACGTTGAATAATCTTTTACCATATGTTAAATTAAATTAATATTAAACTGAATCTTTGATCAAATTGATGTTCTCAACACTTCTATTGTTTTTCATATTTTAATCTTATAAGAATTATTCTAATAATTTTTAGAATAGAATTGTTAAACTATTAGTTGGAAAATTTAAATAGCTAAATCTTATAATCGATGTATAAGTGTAATGACGATAAGTACATCAAATTCCTTCTGATCTGTGCTTGGAAATTAATTATTGTTATTCACTGAATTTGATGAAACATAATGAGTAATTTTTCGTATGAATTTCTATCGTTTATCTTCATCTCAAACACAAATATGTCTTTATTTAATTTTAATTTATAAAGTATTAGAATATATTGTGAATATTGTAACATTAGTTTTTAAAATCTATAAAGCTTATCTATGCTTAATTAATTTAGATATTTTAATTATCGAAAAGAATATTTTCATCTGGATAATTGAAATATGATCAATTCTCATTTTTATGTGAAATGTTCCTTCTCTATTATCATGGGACCATTGTTTATTTTTCTCTGTCATATTTTTGGATAAATATTTATTTTTTTGTAAAATATTTACATCTAAAATGAAAATGTTCATTTATTTTTCTATTATAAATCGTCATACAAAATAAATAATATTCACGAAATATTTTTTTATTATTGACTATTGTTGTTTAAATCGGTTTTTTGTTTTTTGGTTATTTTTTAAAATAAATAATCCTTTAAAAATAGTAAACACTTGCTTTTACTTTATTCTTTATTCGATGAAACTAATAAAAATATACTCTATGTTTGTTCAATATGATTAACAAGTTGATGAGAAAGAATAACATTATTTTCTTGATAAGGTAACAAAATTAGTCATAATTATGTCATGATTATTCTTATATTTTTTATACGTAAAACCTATTTACTCATTGAAGCCAAGAACAAAAAGATATCCAATTGAATATTATGTCAGAAAAAAATTCCATAGAAAAATAAGAGATAAAATCCAACATTACCTTCAAAATAAAATCGTTGCGTGTCTGTAAGTAAATATACACATCAAATCAATAGAAATAAAACAACAAAGAAAATTCCAGGCGTGCCTTTCGTTTATACTATTTTACCTACTTAATTTGTAGTTTTTAGTTACGGTTGAGAAATTTCTTATTACTCATTTTTTGTCATATTACAACAACAACAAGATTGTATATAAAGAGATGCAATAAAATCAATTTTCATTCATTGATAAAAACAGAGAAATATTCCTTCGTAATCTACGGATTTAGTAATACATTAAATATGTATGGTGGCAATCCTAATATGATCTCAGAACTGGCATCTGATATGTGGATTGAACAAAATATTCCCGGCGGATTAAACAGTAAGGATCGTAAAATTTTATTGTTAATATTATTACGATATTATTTGTTTCTTGTTACCAAAAAAAGGGTTTCGAGAGAGCCGAATCACCAGTTTTTTTTTCAGAAGTTAGTACACACAAATGAAATTTTGTGTAAACTTCACGAAAAGATATAGAAAAGAATTCTTAAACAAATGACACGTCTTTAAATTTTCTACGAGCCTTATTTGTAGACATACAATAATCTTACAAAAGCCTATGAAGACATCTTTCTACTATTTTCTGTGAAAAAAAAATTAATTTGAGACTTTCAATCAGATTGTTGAATATCAGTAGAAAAAAGAGTCGTATACAGAGTTCGAAAACATATTATTTTATAGAGAATTGTTTTTTCTATCGTATTGCGTAGTCTGAAAAATAAGTAAATAATAATGTGCCTTCTATGTGCTAAAAACTCGTGGTTCGGTTTTTCTGAAAATCCTGTATTTTAGAATCTGGTAATCGTTTTAGTGTCTTATATTCTTGTAGTAAATGTTTTTCTCCATTCAAATCACTATTTGAATTTGTTTTTTTGCGATTAAAAGAGCGGAAAAAATCCAAATAAACCTTATTCAATAATCTTGATAGCCATTGTATATTTAAACACTTTTGATTGGTTCGTTTATAATTTTTCAAAGTATTGTCTTGATAAAGATTGTGTCATATTATCT